GGGGGGAGAAGCAGCGGCCAGAGGGGGGAAGCAGCGGCAAAAGGGGGAAAGGCAGCGGGCAAAGGTGACAAAAAACAGCGGGCAAAGGGGGGGAAAAGCAGCAGCAAGGGGGGGGAAATCGGTGGCAAAAAAGGGGAGAAACAGCGGGCAAAAAATGGGGGGAAAAGCAGCGGGCGAGAGGGAGGACCAGCGGGTGAGGTCGGAAGCCGCGGCAAGGGGGGGAAGTGGCGGGCAATGGGGAAAAAGGCAGCGGGCAAAAGAGGGGGGGATTTAGCGGGCAAGGGTGGAAAAGCAGCGAGCAATGTGGAGAAAAGCAGCGGCAGGGGGGAAAGCAGCGGGCAAAGGGGGTAAAAGCAGCGGCAAGGAGGGGAAAAACAGCGGCAAGGGGGGGAAAGCAGAGGCAAGGGAGGGCAAACCAGCTGCAAGGGAGGGGAAACCAGCGGCAAGGGGGAGGACAAGTGATAGCAAGGGGGGGAAGAGAGGATGGCGAGCAGAGGAAGGGGGGACGGCGAGCAGGGGAGGAGTGGATGACAAGTAGAGGAAGAGGGGACGGCGAACAGATGAGGAGGGGCCAGCGAGCAAAGGAAGAGGGGACAGCGAGAGCGGGGGAGGGGGGGACGGCAAGCAGGGGAAGGGGGGACGGCGAGCAGAGGAAGAGGGGACGGCGAGCAGAGGAAGGGGGGACGGCGAGCAGAGGAAGAGGGGATGAGGAGCAGAGGAAGAGGGGAAGGCGGGCAGAGGAAGAGGGGATGGTGCGCAGGGAAGGAGGGGACGCGGCGAGCGGAGGACTTAGCCGAGGCGCGGTGGCGAGATCGAAGGAGAGGCGAAAACCGATCGACCCCACAGGGTCGCGTTCGCAACCGCTTCCGTTGCCCCTTCTCGCAGCCGTTGCCGATACCCTGCTGTTACACCTTCTATACAACCTCTAGTAACAGCTTATGAAACTGTAACGTGAACAGTCCCGTTTAGGAGGCTCCTTAGGAAGGTACGTAGGTAAGCAAGGTCTAAGCGCCAGTGGGCGAGAGCAGTAGTGGGCTGGGTGACCTCCCGGGAAGTCCTTGTTGTTGGTTAGAGAAGGCTATAAGCAGATGATTCAATGGCTCCTTGGAAATTTCTGCAGCACTTCGTTATGACGCCCAGAAAACTCGCGACCTTCGAATAGCTATATCAAAAACTCCAATCGGTGAAACGATCTGAAAATCGGATATGTTGTATCTGGCAGCGTCAGCTTTCCACTGAAAGTTGAATCACTCGATTCCGTAGCTTAACGAGTGAGCTATGGCGTTTGGCGCACTGGGGGGTAATCTGCCCTAGGAGAAGTTGACAGTCCTCCGTGTCACTATAATTGAAGCTTACAAGATCAGAGGCATGATAGAAAAGGCATTGAAGCACAGTTGGAAGGTGGGGTAGGAAGGGAAGGATGAAAGGGAAGGACCCTGGAGGCCCATGGTCAAGAACATGACAAGAGTCAAAGTTTTGACTCCCCATCCTCAGGTTCAGCCAGCCTGGCAAGACAAAATTCACACTGTGCCAGGTTGGCCTCCAAACCCCAAATGCTGCAGCTGCAAGGTGGGGACAAAAGTCCCACACATGCTGGTCCCTCCTCCTTATAGGGCTCTCCAACTTTGGTGTAGCAGCTGCCAAGGACTTCCAATGAGTTGTAACAAATCCATCAAACATTTCTTCGTAACTTCTTCATATGTGCTCCGATTCCAACAATTCTTGGCTCGTTGGAATGTGCTCGATGTCATGCACAATCCAACAAACCATACAAACAACGTAGCACACAAAACACATGCAAATGAAATGATGCGAACAGACGACAGGATGACGTGCAAATGAATATGCACCAACACACTCCCCCTCAGACTGTCGGCTTGTTTCGCCGTCTCTAGTTCAAGGACATTCCCGCCATCCTCGCACAGCGCCAGTGTGGCTCTTCAGCTAGCCGCTTGGTAAGGAAGTCCGCTGGCTGTTGCTGAGTTTTCACGTAGATCGGATCTAGTGTCCCAAGCTTCACCTCCTTCCGCAGCCAATGCCACTTGATCCTCATGTGCTTGTTCAACCCATGAAGAACTGCATTGCGTGCCATGGCAATGGCTCCCTTGCTGTCACTGAACAGAGGTGTCGCACAAGTCTGTTCATAGCCGATCTCCTTCAAGAGCCTCCTTAGCCAGATGATTTCTTTTGCCGCATGAAACATCGCCATGTACTCAGATTCCACTGAAGATAGTGCCGTCTCAGACTGCTTCTTGGACCTCCAACTTACAGGCCCACCTCCCACCATGCAGATGTATCCACCAACTGATGATGAATCCTCATGCTCAGAAGCCCACGTGGCATCAGCAAAACAGGAAAGGAACACCTTTCCTTCTCCGAGCTGCTCCCCCTTCTCTTTGAGGACTTCAACTCCTTTTTGACTGAGTTGAGCAGAGGCTGAATACTGTACTCCCACTGTAGGGTATGACTTGAGGTAGCGCACCACTCTCTCCGCTGCACCACACTGCTCTTCTGTTGGATTTTGCACTACTCGAGCCAGCTGTCCCACAGCAAAGCTGATGTCAGGCCGAGTATGCACAGCAGCGTAGAGTAGGCTTCCGACCATGGATTGGAATTGCCTCTGGTCTTCACTCTCAACTCCTTCTCCTTCAGCTGCCTTTATGAGTTTGAACTCGGAAGGCAAAGGTGTGACCACTTCCCGTTCTTCCTGCAGAGAGTACTTCTCAGCCAAGGTGTTGATGTACTGTCCCTGATGCAGTTTGAGCCAGCCACGTTCAGTATCCCGCTCAATGTGCATTCCCAGGTAGTACCTTGCCTCTCCAAGTGACTTGCACTTGAACTGCTCTGTGAGCTTCCGCTGCACCCCATCGATCTCCTTGTCACTGCTGCTGAAGAGCAGGATGTCATCCACGTACACCAGCAGAAGCACAAGTGACTCCCCCTCTCCCATCAGGAATAGGCTCTCGTCGCATGCACTCGCACGGAATCCAATCCCTTCCAGTGCACTGGCCAGCCTGTTGTACCAGCATCTCGGGGCCTGCTTCAAGCCATAGATGGCCTTGTTAAGTTTGCAGACACGACCGGTTCCATCCTCATAGCCAGGTGGTTGAACCATGTACACCTCCTCTTCCACAATGCCGTACAGAAAAGCGGTTACGATGTCCATCTGCTTCACCTTCCATTTGCGCACAGCAGCTACCGCCAGCAGCACACGTAGCGTTGGAGACTTAGCAGTTGGGGCAAACACTTCTTTGTAATCTTCCTTCTCTTTCTGCTGAAACCCCTTTGCCACCAGCCTGCTCTTGTAAACTGATGGCTCTCCTTTCTCATCCGTCTTGATTTTTGCCAGCCACTTGCACTGTATTGCCTTCTTCCCATTTGGCAAGTACACCAGGTCCCATGTGTGATTCTCCATCTGGCTGTTGTACTCTGCATCTCTTGAAACGAGCCACTTCCCCCGTTGAGGCCCGGCTAGCGCATGATCCATGCTCGGAGGTTGTATTGGTGCGTAAAAGCAGTATGCAGGCTCCTCGTCATCTGACTCTTGTGTTAGAAACAGAAAGGTTGAGTTTATTGATGAAGCAAAGGCATTACATAGGAAGAGAGAGATGAGCTAGGAAGGGAAGGTTGGAAGGGAAAGGGGGGTTAGGACCAATCACAAGGGAGGGAGGATCCTTCCAAATGTGGTTGACCACCAGTTGGAGGTGGTCCAAGTGTGGTGTACCACCAGTGGTTTAGCCAACCCACTTGTGGTGCCCCCACAATTGTGGTCCTTGTGTTTGGGGGCTCCAACCACAATTGGGTTGGATTGACACCCCAACACAGGTGTACACCCAACTAGGGATGTAAACACAATATACACAACTAGCATAGCATGGTATATTCTAACACAACCCCATTGCATGCAAAGCTAGTATAGGGGAGTGGTAACCGGCTGCAGGGGAGGGGCAAGCTGGTGGTCGGTCTGCAGGGGAGTGGTAACCGGCTTGGCCTGCGCCATGTCGAACCGCTGCAAGACTTGGTCGATGTAGAAGGACTGAGAGAGGGTAATGGTGCGCGATGTGCGGTCCCGGGTGATGGTCATGCCCAGATAGTGCTTGAGCTCACCCAGGTCCTTGCACTTGAGGCGCGCATGCAGGGCGTCCTTCACTTGCTGCATGGTGGCAGCATCGTCAGCGAACAGGATCATGTCGTCGACATACACCAGGATGAAGAAGCGGGTGGGAGAGGAGCGAAGGAAAAGGCTGGCATCAGACTGAGAGGCATGGAACCCCAAGGACTGCAGAGTGGCGGCCAGCTTGTTGTGCCACTCGCGAGGAGCCTGCTTGAGGCCATAAACCGGGCGGCGCAGCTCCCAGACTGTGTTGGCAGGGAAGGCTGCATGAAAGCCTGGAGGCCGCCGCAAGAGGACCCGCTCCTGGAGCTCGCCTTGCAGGAAGGCGTTGGAGACATCCATGGAGGCAATCTCCATGCCAATGCGAACAGCATAGTCGAGGATGGCACGGAGAGTTGGGAGCTTGGCAGTGGGAGAGAATGTCTCCCAGTAGTCGATGCCATGGGTTTGGGTGAAGCCCTTGGCACAATACCGGGCCTTGTAGACCGGCTCCTCACCCGGCAGCTGCTTCACTCGGAACACCCACAGGCCTTCAACAATGACGTCGTCAGGAGAGGGGACAATGTTAACGAATGAGGCATTGCGGATGAAGGCCTCGCATTCAGCAAAGATAGCCTGGATCCACTTGGCAGCATCGGGGCAGGTGATGGCCTCAAGGAAGTTGGACGGAGTGAATCTGGTGGGAGCGGTAGCGATGCCAAGGATGAGGAGGCCAAGGAAGCCCGGGTAGAGAGGCGTGAGGGAAGGTGTTTGTTGCTGAACGCCAATGAGCTCCTCATGGGAGTCCTCAATGAAGGGAAGGGAGGGTGGGGGTGGTGTTGGCCAACCCCATGGATGGCCTATGAGTGGGCCGTGAGAGCGAGTGTGGATGCGTGGGAGGATGAACGGAGAGGTGGTGCGGCGATGCCGATGAGGTTGCTGCAGTGGCTGCTGCTGCTGCTGCTGCTGCTGCTGCTGCTGCTGCTGTGGCTGCTGCTGGTGCTGCTGCTGCACCTCCTGCTACGGCTGCTGTTGCTGCACTGCCTGCGGTTGCTGCTGCTGCTCCATCCGCTGCTGCACCTCCTGCTGCTGCTGCTGCTGCTGCTGCTGCTGCTGCTGCACCTCCTGCTGCTGTTGCTGCTGCTGCTGCTGCTGCTGCTGCTGCTGCTGCTGCTGCTGCTGCTGCTGCTGCTGCTCCATCCGCTGCTGCTGCTGCTGCTCCTTCTGCTGCTGCTGCTGCTGCTGCTGCTGCTGCTGCTGCTGCTGCTGCTGGTGCTGGTGCGATGAGGCAGAGTGAGCAGGGGAGTCAGGGACAGCTGGGTCGTAAATGTCACCTGAGGAAGGAGGAGGGGGAGGAGCAGGATTTGGAGGAAGGAGGGGAGCCTGGGGAAGGAGTGGGGGAATGACAGCATCAGCCCAGGTGAGGGGGCGGGAGAGAGGAGGAAGGGGGTCGGAAGGCGGAACAGAATGATAGAACGGGATGCTCTCATCGAACACCACGTCACGGCTCTGTAGGAGGCGGCCTGAGGACGGGTGAAGGAAGAGGTAACCAGGGGCAGAGCGAGCGTGGCCAAGGTAGACACACTCAATGGCCTTGGAGGCGAGCTTTCCTGCCTGCCGAGAGCGGTCAGGTGGGGGGATGAGGACATATGCCTTGCAACCCCAGATACGGAGAATGGCAGCATCTGGCTTGGTGCTAGCCCAGAGCTCAGTGGGAGTGACAGACTGGCGTTGAGGATGTGGGTAAAGATTAGTAAGGAGAGCAGCATGGACAAGGGCATAGCCCCAAAGAGAAGGGGGCGTGGAGGCATGAGTGAGGAGGCAGCGGGCCGTCTTGGTGATCTCACGAATGCGACTCTCAGCAACACCGTTCTGCTGAGGGGAGTGGGGAAGGGTATGAGTCTGCTGGATGCCATGGGTTGAGCAGTAGGAGGAGAGGGTGCGGTTGAGAAACTCACCACCGCCGTCGGAATGGAGGTGGCGGATGGGGCGACCAAAGTGGACTCGGTACTGCTCGGCCCAGGTAACGATGACAGCAGGGGCCTCGGCCTTCGTGTGGAGGAGGAACACCGAGGAGTACCTGCTGTGGTCGTCGACTAGGACAAGCATGTACCGGTGCCCTTGGCGGAAAGGGGAAGGGTTAGGGCCCCAGAGGTCCATGTGGACGAGGTCAAGGGGGGCAGCAGCAAAGGAAGGATGACTGAGGTGAGGCTGTTGTTTGAGCTTTCCATGAATGCATGTGGCGCATGGGGGAGCGGAAGAGGACGGGAGGGGAGGAAGAGTGGGGGGAAGACCGTCAAGCAAGCGGGAGGAGACGGCTTTACGAAGTGTGGGAAAGTTCATATGACCAAGGCGGTGGTGGATGAGAACAGCGGGGTGGGACAGTGCGCGACAAGAGCATGGGGAGGAGGTGGAGTTGGAGGAAGGTGGCTCTAGAGGGAGGGGAGGGGGGAGAGTGGAGGTGCCTGCACGAGTGGTCACGTGGCATGAGGAGGGGCGGGGTGTGCGGAGGATGTACTGACGAGAGCGAGGGCAAAGTGGGAGGCGATGAAGGAGGCGGCGAGTGGGGCCGTGGAGGAGGTCACAGTAGGTGGCAGAGGCGGGGAAGAGGGTAGTGATGCCAGCCTGTTGGAGTTCACGAATGGAGAGCAGGTTATGACGAAGGGAGGGAATGTGGAGACCAGTGACCACTCCAGAGGGGAAGGGGGGGCAGGGGAGGGTGGAGAGATGAGTGCAAGGGATGGAGAAGCTGGAATCAGCACCATGAACGTTGGTGGGGAAAGGGAGGGAGGTGAGGGTGCCGGCGTCTTTGAGGGCAGTTTCAGTGGCACCACTATCGAGAACAAAGTCAATCGTGAGCGAGGAGGGAGCTGAAGACACGGGGTACTGGAAATCACTGGCATTAAAAACAGAGGGATACATGGAAGTGGAAGCAGGGGAAGAACGCATGAGCTCGCCTAGAAAGCTGCAGTGGGAGGCGGGAGCACTAGGGGAAGGAGAGCCCCAGAGGGGAAAGCCAGGAGGACCTGGTGTGGCTGTGGCAGCCATGGCAGCGGTGCCAAAGCCAAGCTGCTGCTGCTGCCATGCAGAAGCTCGAGCCAGATCTGGCGGGAGCCGATGCGACGTGCCTGGAAGTTGCGCATGAGCGCAGACGGGATGGCAAGGAGAAGGGCACCAGTAGCACGGCTGTCCGCCTCGAGCCAGGCGCGACGACGCTCAGCAAATCGCGCAGAGTCAGCGGCATAAGCGGCGGCGGTAGCGGCATGCTGGGTGCGGAGGGTTGCCGACCGCTCGTGTTCCTCCAACGCGATCAGGTAATCAGTATGGAGCACGAGGAACTCACGACGCTGAGTAAGGAAGAGCTGCTCAACTTCAGCGGTGGCAGCGCGAGTGCTGGTGCCAACGGGTACTATGGGGGGCAAAGGTTCCTCGCCGGGATGGGGAATGAGAGAGGGGGGATCGCCAGGGTGAGGCGGCGGGTCCCCAAGGTCACCCTCTGGGAGACCAAGCATGATGTCCAGGAGGCGGAACGGCAGGACATAAGCACTGCCGAGGACGCGGTGGAGGCTGCCGACGAAGGAATACCATGTTAGAAACAGAAAGGTTCAGTTTATTGATGAAGGAAAGGCATTACATAGGAAGAGAGAGATGAGCTAGGAAGGGAAGGTTGGAAGGGAAGGGGGGGTTAGGACCAATCACAAGGGAGGGAGGCTCCTTCCAAATGTGGTTGACCACCAGTTGGAGGTGGTCCAAGTGTGGTGTACCACCAGTGGTTTAGCCAACCCACTTGTGGTGCCCCCACAATTGTGGTCATTGTGTTTGGGGCTCCAACCACAATTGGGTTGGATTGACACCCCAACACAGGTGTACACCCAACTAGGGATGTAAACACAATATACACAACTAGCATAGCATGGTATATTCTAACACTATTACTGAACAGAGGTGTCGCACAAGTCTGTTCATAGCCGATCTCCTTCAAGAGCCTCCTTAGCCAGATGATTTCTTTTGCCGCATGAAACATCGCCATGTACTCAGATTCCACTGAAGATAGTGCCGTCTCAGACTGCTTCTTGGACCTCCAACTTATAGGCCCACCTCCCACCATGCAGATGTATCCACCAACTGATGATGAATCCTCATGCTCAGAAGCCCACGTGGCATCAGCAAAACAGGAAAGGAACACCTTTCGTTCTCCGAGCTGCTCCCCCTTCTCTTTGAGGACTTCAACTCCTTTTTGACTGAGTTGAGCAGAGGCTGAATACTGTACTCCCACTGTAGGGTATGACTTGTGTTAGCGCACCACTCTCTCCGCTGCACCACACTGCTCTTCTGTTGGATTTTGCACTACTCGAGCCAGCTGTCCCACAGCAAAGCTGATGTCAGGCCGAGTATGCACAGCAGCGTAGAGTAGGCTCCCGACCATGGATTGGAATTGCCTCTGGTCTTCACTCTCAACTCCTTCTCCTTCAGCTGCCTTTCTGAGTTTGAACTCGGAAGGCAAAGGTGTGACCACTTCCCGTTCTTCCTGCAGAGAGTACTTCTCAGCCAAGGTGTTGATGTACTGTCCCTGATGCAGTTTGAGCCAGCCACGTTCAGTATCCCGCTCAATGTGCATTCCCAGGTAGTACCTTGCCTCTCCAAGTGACTTGCACTTGAACTGCTCTGTGAGCTTCCGCTGCACCCCATCGATCTCCTTGTCACTGCTGCTGAAGAGCAGGATGTCATCCACGTACACCAGCAGAAGCACAAGTGACTCCCCCTCTCCCATCAGGAATAGGCTCTCGTCGCATGCACTCGCACGGAATCCAATCCCTTCCAGTGCACTGGCCAGCCTGTTGTACCAGCATCTCGGGGCCTGCTTCAAGCCATAGATGGCCTTGTTAAGTTTGCAGACACGACCGGTTCCATCCTCATAGCCAGGTGGTTGAACCATGTACACCTCCTCTTCCACAATGCCGTACAGAAAAGCGGTTACGATGTCCATCTGCTTCACCTTCCATTTGCGCACAGCAGCTACCGCCAGCAGCACACGTAGCGTTGGAGACTTAGCAGTTGGGGCAAACACTTCTTTGTAATCTTCCTTCTCTTTCTGCTGAAACCCCTTTGCCACCAGCCTGCTCTTGTAAACTGATGGCTCTCCTTTCTCATCCGTCTTGATTTTTGCCAGCCACTTGCACTGTATTGCCTTCTTCCCATTTGGCAAGTACACCAGGTCCCATGTGTGATTCTCCATCTGGCTGTTGTACTCTGCATCTCTTGAAACGAGCCACTTCCCCCGTTGAGGCCCGGCTAGCGCATGATCCATGCTCGGAGGTTGTATTGGTGCGTAAAAGCAGTATGCAGGCTCCTCGTCATCTGACTCTTGGTCATCACCCAAGAACAGCACTGCATCTTCGCCTTGAGCCTGTTCCTGCTGCTCAGTTGTGGCTCCTCCACTTGTGGAGCTCAGCAGCTTTCTCGTTGCCATTCTGGTACGTGCAGGGTAGATGGTTGGATTTACCCATTCTTTCACCTTCACCCAATCCTTTGTCCCCCCACCAATTTGTTTCCTTCGCTTTGGCAGACTTGGTGTTTTGGAAGCCTCTTGCTGCTGCTGCTCCGGATCCTTGACTTCAGCATCAGCTGCAATATCCTCATTGCTTCCTTCATCAGTACCGCTTGCCGTTGGCGCAGTGACTTCGCTGTCCTCAGGTTCGGACAGATCGAAGTGCATAGTGATCTCTTCCAGCTGCTGGGTGACCCTTGCCTCCGGCTGCTTCTCCCACTTGCCATACATGATGTTCTCCACAAATTTGACATCCCGACTGTCAAACAGCACATTCTTTGAGGGCTCCCAGAGTAGCCACCCCTTGCTCTCTGCCGCAAGCCCAAGGTGCACACACCAAAGTGCAGATGCTCCAAGCTTTGTCCTGTACGGTTTAGGGACATGCGCCACTGCCATGTATCCGAACACTCGAAGCATGTCCACTGGAGGCTTCTTTCCAAGCCACCTCTCCAGCGGCACCCACATATCATCAGCCACCTTTGTGAGTACGCGGTTCCTTGCCACTGTAGCATGCCTCACCGCATGAGGCCACATGGAGTTCCCCAGCCCTGATTCGATCAGCAGCGCTCGCGCAGTTTCCAGGATGGTCCTATTAGCCCTCTCAGCAACGCCATTTGACTGAGGGGTGTATGACGTCGTTAGCTGATGCTCAATGCCTTGTTTCTTGAGCCACGCAGTCAGATCTCCTCCTAGAAACTCTCCACCTCGGTCGGTTCTGATGCTCTTGCATGGGTGCCCAGATTGTCGCTCGACGAACGGCAGCCAATCATCTCGTATTGTTGAGGCAGCATGATCCTTCTGCTTCAACGGGTATGCCCACATCAGCCGACTCCAGTCATCAACTATTGTCAGGAAGTACCTTTCCCCCTTACTTCCTCGGACTGGAAAAGGTCCTACGAGGTCCATGTGCACCAGTTCCAGTGCTGCCTTGCTTTTCCCAGCTACGCCGTGAAAGGGGAACCGTGTGAACTTGCTCAGCAGACACGTCTCGCACTTGGTATCATTTGGTTGCCCAGAAAGCTTGAGCCCCTTTACTGCTTCTTCCTTATGCAGTTGCTGCAGCAATGGCATAGCCACATGCCCTAGACGCCTGTGTGCGGTTTCCCAATCAGTCTCCCCCGACCTTGCAGAAACCGTCACTCCTGCAGCACTAACTGCATTACACTCCCCCTGGACTCCAGATCCCGCCTTTACTTCTCCCAACTCCTTCTTTGTTGATTCCCATATCAGTGGAGGGATCTGCCACATGGATCTGAAGACATCTCTGCTTTCGTGTAAATCCCATAACACACGATCTCCTCGCAGCCCCTTGAATGTTTTGGATCCATTGGTGGTGGTGCTGACTCCGGCCTGGCCTAGCTTGCGCAGCGATATCAGATTGGCCTTCAGCCCCGGTACGAGTAACACGTCCTTCAGCACAACCAGTCCACCATCAGGTGCTCTGAATGCAGCTCGACCAACTCCAGCGACCTTCACTGCATGTCCGGATGCTGAGCGCACTTCAGAGATAGGAGGCGCTCGCACAGCATCCAGCAAGTCCTTGCGTGGTGTCATTGTCCATGCAGCACCAGAGTCCATGACCCACATGTCAAGCGGGTGCAATTCCTCTCCAGCCCTTGCAACAGCTGTGCCACTGTCATCTTTGTCACACACATGGTAGAACTGTCCAGCATTCCTCTCCTCATTTCCCATTCCTCTGTCATCCTTGGAGGTTTCTTCAGCAGGATCAGCTACCATGTTGGCACCTCCATGTGGTTGCTTTCCTCCATTCCCCTTCTGCGATTGGTTCCAAGGGGTCCACCAGTCGGGCTTGGTAGGGCAGCAAAACCATGGATGCCCTTCTTCCTTGCAATACCAGCACTCTCCCCTCAAGCGTGGTTCAGTGTTGTCATTGTTGGAGTGACCACCTCTTCCTCTTGCACCAGCGCCACCACGCCCCCACTGGTTCCAAGTCCCGCGACCACCTTGGCTGTGGTAAGAGCGACCGCGATTGCCACGCCCTCGATCCCTCCATGTCCCTTGCATGGCATAGCCGCTGGTGCTGTCATCACCTCCGCGCAGTGTATAGCGACGAAAATCTTCTTCCAGAATCTTGGTGCGAATCCACTCCAATGTCCATTGACTTTGATTTTGTGGCAAGCTGAGTCCGCTTATAAATTGCAGCCAAGACTCCAGCAGCAGGCTGAGCATCTTGAGACACTTTGTCTGCTCTGGGTACGTGATGCCAGCAATTGCCAATTTCGCGTAGAGTTCCCTCATCTTGTCCAGTACGGGCTGCACAGGTTCATTCTCGCTCAACCGCAGCATGGACAGCTCCCGATCCAGCATGAGAGAAGTGGCAACCGATGTCGGAGCGTGCAGGTCCTTGAGCACTGCCCATGCCTTGGGCCCACAATCAATTTCCGGTAGCAGATGCATGATGTGATGCCTCTGGTTCAGCTCCAAGCTTTGTGACAGTAGATAATACCCAGCAGATGAACGTTCATCCCAGTCCGCTTGCTCTGCCATTTCCTTTGGCCTTGGCTCCGTTCCAATCATGAGCTTCAAGAGGCCAATTTGTCGAAAGTAGAGCTGCATCTTCCATGCCCAATCATTATAGCCATCTCCAGAGAACTTCTCAATGGTGAAGTTCTTCAGCACCTCCTTAAGCAGTGACCCCTGGCTTGTACGCGCTCCCCTTTGCGCTGCAATGCCAGAATCTTGGGTTGAGCTGCCTCCTTGGACTGAAGTATCACCTCCACCAGAGTCCTCTTTATCTCCCATCGTATTTAAGGTCCCAAATGCGTGATAATAGACTCTGATACCACTTGTTGGTTAGAGAAGGCTATAAGCAGATGATTCAATGGCTCCTTGGAAATTTCTGCAGCACTTCGTTATGACGCCCAGAAAACTCGCGACCTTCGAATAGCTATATCAAAAACTCCAATCGGTGAAACGATCTGAAAATCGGATATGTTGTATCTGGCAGCGTCAGCTTTCTACTGAAAGTTGAATCACTCGATTCCGTAGCTTAACGAGTGAGCTATGGCGTTTGGCGCACTGGGGGGTAATCTGCCCTAGGAGAAGTTGACAGTCCTCAGAGTCACTATAATTGAAGCTTACAAGATCAGAGGCATGATAGAAAAGGCATTGAAGCACAGTTGGAAGGTGGGGTAGGAAGGGAAGGATGAAAAGGAAGGACCCTGGAGGCCCATGGTCAAGAACATGACAAGAGTCAAAGTTTTGACTCCCCATCCTCAGGTTCAGCCAGCCTGGCAAGACAAAATTCACACTGTGCCAGGTTGGCCTCCAAACCCCAAATGCTGCAGCTGCAAGGTGGGGACAAAAGTCCCACACATGCTGGTCCCTCCTCGTTATAGGGCTCTCCAACTTTGGTGTAGCAGCTGACAAGGACTTCCAATGAATTGTAACAAATCCATCAAACATTTCTTCGTAACTTCTTCATATGTGCTCCGATTCCAACAATTCTTGGCTCGTTGGAATGTGCTCGATGTCATCCACAATCCAAGCACATCTGCACAAGCACAAGATGAACATGCAAAGACATGCAAACCCAACAAACCATACAAAAAACGTAGCACACAAAACACATGCAAACAAAATGATGCGAACAGACGACAGGATGACGTGCAAATGAATATGCACCAACACACTCCCCCTCAGACTGTCGGCTTGTTTCGTCGTCTCTAGTTCAAGGACATTCCCGCCATCCTCGCACAGCGCCAGTGTGGCTCTTCAGCTAGCCGCTTGGTAAGGAAGTCGGCTGGCTGTTGCTGAGTTTTCACGTAGATCGGATCCAGTGTCCCAAGCTTCACCTCCTTCCGCAGCCAATGCCACTTGATCCTCATGTGCTTGTTCAACCCATGAAGAACTGCATTGCGTGCCATGGCAATGGCTCCCTTCCTATCACTGAACAGAGGTGTCGCACAAGTCTGTTCATAGCCGATCTCCTTCAAGAGCCTCCTTAGCCAGATGATTTCTTTTGCCGCATGAAACATCGCCATGTACTCAGATTCCACTGAAGATAGTGCCGTCTCAGACTGCTTCTTGGACCTCCAACTTACAGGCCCACCTCCCACCATGCAGATGTATCCACCAACTGATGATGAATCCTCATGCTCAGAAGCCCACGTGGCATCAGCAAAACAGGAAAGGAACACCTTTCCTTCTCCGAGCTGCTCCCCCTTCTCTTGAAGGACTTCAACTCCTTTTTGCCTGAGTTCAGCAGAGGCTGAATACTGTACTCCCACTGTAGGGTATGACTTGAGGTAGCGCACCACTCTCTCCGCTGCACCACACTGCTCTTCTGTTGGATTTTGCACTACTCGAGCCAGCTGTCCCACAGCAAAGCTGATGTCAGGCCGAGTATGCACAGCAGCGTAGAGTAGGCTCCCGACCATGGATTGGAATTGCCTCTGGTCTTCACTCTCAACTCCTTCTCCTTCAGCTGCCTTTATGAGTTTGAACTCGGAAGGCAAAGGTGTGACCACTTCCCGTTCTTCCTGCAGAGAGTACTTCTCAGCCAAGGTGTTGATGTACTGTCCCTGATGCAGTTTGAGCCAGCCACGTTCAGTATCCCGCTCAATGTGCATTCCCAGGTAGTACCTTGCCTCTCCAAGTGACTTGCACTTGAACTGCTCTGTGAGCTTCCGCTGCACCCCATCGATCTCCTTGTCACTGCTGCTGAAGAGCAGGATGTCATCCACGTACACCAGCAGAAGCACAAGTGACTCCCCCTCTCCCATCAGGAATAGGCTCTCGTCGCATGCACTCGCACGGAATCCAATCCCTTCCAGTGCACTGGCCAGCCTGTTGTACCAGCATCTCGGGGCCTGCTTCAAGCCATAGATGGCCTTGTTAAGTTTGCAGACACGACCGGTTCCATCCTCATAGCCAGGTGGTTGAACCATGTACACCTCCTCTTCCACAATGCCGTACAGAAAAGCGGTTACGATGTCCATCTGCTTCACCTTCCATTTGCGCACAGCAGCTACCGCCAGCAGCACACGTAGCGTTGGAGACTTAGCAGTTGGGGCAAACACTTCTTTGTAATCTTCCTTCTCTTTCTGCTGAAACCCCTTTGCCACCAGCCTGCTCTTGTAAACTGATGGCTCTCCTTTCTCATCCGTCTTGATTTTTGCCAGCCACTTGCACTGTATTGCCTTCTTCCCATTTGGCAAGTACACCAGGTCCCCCGTGTGATTCTCCATCTGGCTGTTGTACTCTGCATCTCTTGAAATGAGCCACTTCCCCCGTTGAGGCCCGGCTAGCGCATCAACCATCCTCGGAGGTTGTATTGGTGCGTAAAAGCAGTATGCAGGCTCCTCGTCATCTGACTCTTGGTCATCACCCAAGAACAGCACTGCATCTTTGTCTTGAGCCTGTTCCTGCTGCTCAGTCGTGGCTCCTCCACTTGTAGAGTTCAGCAGCTTTCTCGTTGCCATTCTGGTACGTGCAGGGTAGATGGTTGGATTTACCCATTCTTTCACCTTCACCCAATCCTTTGTCCCCCCACCAATTTGTTTCCTTCGCTTTGGCAGACTTGGTGTTTTGGAAGCCTCTTGCTGCTGCTGCTCCGGATCCTTGACTTCAGCATCAGCTGCAATATCCTCATTGCTTCCTTCATCAGTACCGCTTGCCGTTGGCGCAGTGACTTCGCTGTCCTCAGGTTCGGACAGATCGAAGTGCATAGTGATCTCTTCCAGCTGCTGGGTGACCCTTGCCTCCGGCTGCTTCTCCCACTTGCCATACATGATGTTCTCCACAAATGTGACATCCCGACTGTCAAACAGCACATTCTTTGAGGGCTCCCAGAGTAGCCACCCCTTGCTCTCTGCCGCAAGCCCAAGGTGCACACACCAAAGTGCAGATGCTCCAAGCTTTGTCCTGTACGGTTTAGGGACATGCGCCACTGCCGTGCATCCGAACACTCTAAGCATGTCCACTGGAGGCTTCTTTCCAAGCCACCTCTCCATACATAGGCTTGAGGCACGGGAGCGCGGATTGCATTGGCCTTGGCTTGAGCGCTGTTGTCCTTTTCGGCAGAAAGGAGCGCGGATGAGACCTTGGCAAATGTGAGTTCTGCAGGAGCAAGGCCCAAGAGCATCTTGCGTGTGACTTCGTATGCCGGAGTGAGGCCGACTAGGAGAGCGGCTGCAGGGGCTTGCTCGGGGAAGACTATCCCCAACTGTTTGAGTTCACCATGAATGGACTGCACCTTGGTGACATAGTCCGCAATGCCTGGCGAGTCCTCGAGGCGCACTTGGAACATGCTGGGGATGAGTATAGCAACTCCCACTGCAGTCTTGTTCAGGAAGCGATCCTCGAGGTAGAGCCGAATGGCGTTGGCAGACGGGTAGTTGTTGTGGGTTTCGACGAGTTCGGGAGGAGTGGTGCCCATGAAGACACTAATGACCGCACCATCGGCCTTCTCCCAATTCTTGTACTTGAGCAGTGCAGCAGCATAAACTGCTTCGGCGGCGGCATTAGCTGGATCGGCGGACCTCTCGGGTTTAGGAGGCTCTTTGCCGTCACCGATGTTGAGAAGGACGTCGGTAAGCTCCAGCCCCTTCACCTCGCGACTGAGGAGGTGCTTGTCGACACCATAGCGCCAAGCCTTGTAGTTGGAGCATGTACCGTCCGGCTCGAGACGAAGGAGCGGGATCAGGTTGGCGAGTGAAGTGGTTGAGTAAGCCATTGTCGGTGTGCAGCGCGGCACTTCTGGAAATTGGTCGACGAGAATTGCTGAAAATCACTCTGACGGCTGTATCAAAATGCCGCTAAGTAGGAAATGGCGTCGGCGAAAATTCGTTAAAACGCCGACTTGAAACTGAATCTGAGCCTATGTCTAACCCCGGACCCACACACCCCCCCACACACCCCCAGGCCCTGTCCCGCAGCTACACAGCTCCGCAACCAGCTCCGCAACCAGCTCCGCAACCAGCTCCGCTCCGCTTCAACCTGTGTACCTGCTCTTGATTTGATACGAGACGTTCGTGGACGCGATTTCGCGAGGGGAGTTCGCCTATTCTGGCGGGGTCTGAGGGGAAACTCGAGAACGAGTTTTAAGAGATGGTCAAAATTGAAATTTGACCAAGGAGAACCGAGGAGGAAATCGACGATGAGAAGCGTGAAAGCTTCAGAAATGAGAAATTCAACGAGGTCGAGCGCGAAGGCGGTCGACGATGAGAGGCGCGACTGCAGAGTGGAGCACGTCGAAATTCCGACGACTCGAAACGAATGTCGTGACGATGAAGTGCGCGTAGCGCGGGCACGTTGAGATTAGGACCTTGATCCGCGTGTGCGGATAGGTCGCTCTGATACCATGTAAGAAATAGAGTTGAAATGATTGATTAGGTAAGGAGCCCAAGGCTCTATAAGTACATGGCAAGGTGAGAGTGAATGGATGAAGGGGGAATTGGAGGGAATCCCCATGGGGATCTCCGGAATCTCCAATGGGTAATTGGAGATTGGGGAGATCACAATTGGGTGAGGTTGGGATTTGTGAGTACACCCCAACCCACTAAAACATTCATAACCTAAACTCGGATATAAAAGTACAAATGCAAAAGTGGTATTTGCAGTCTATTTCTAACAACCAAGAGTGAGGATGTGAGACTTGGTGGCTTGTAGATAACGGAGGACCCTCTTGGCTGCAGACCAATGCGAGGCAGTGTAGCGTCCGGGGGAGACGTACCGAGAGAGGACACTAACCGGGTAAGCCATGTCTGGTCGAGTGCACATCATGGCATACATGAGTGAACCGACTAGCTCAGGGTACGGGTCCTTGCAGGCGTCAGGAGAAGGAACTGGAGGGGCCGTGAGCTGATGCTGTAGTGGGAGTGGAGTGGAGACAGAGTTACTGGAGTCCATGTCGAACCGCTTGAGAAGGTTGTCGATGTAGGACTCCTGGGAGAGGGTGATCGTGCAAGCTTGGCGGTCACGAGTGATCTCCATCCCCAGGTAGTTCTTGAGGTCACCAAGATCCTTCATGAGAAAGACGGAGCTGAGAGCAGACTGGACAGCTGCCATGTCGGCTGGATCTCTGGCGGCTAGAATGAAGTCGTCGACGTAGACGAGGAGGTAGAAGGGCTCGGAGGAGTGACGAACGAAGAGACTGGAATCTGAGGCAGAGGGATGGAAGTCAAATGCGAGGAGGACTTCCTTCACCTTGTTGTGCCACTCACGAGGAGCCTGCTTGAGGCCATACACTGGGCACTTCAGCTTCCACACTGTGTTGGCAGGGTAAGTGCCAGGAAACCCCGGTGGGCGTTCCATGTGAACATCCTCCTTGAGCTGGCCTTGGAGAAAGGCGGAGGAGGCGTCCATGGACTTGATCTCGAAGTTGCCGCGAGCGGCTATATCAAGAAGAGCGCGCACAGTCGGGAGCTTGGCCGTGGGCGAGAATGTTTCGAAGAAGTCGAGATACTCCTTCTGGGTGAAACCCTTCGCCACGTATCGTGCCTTGAACAGTGGAGCTTCGCCTGGGAGTTGTTTGACTCGGAAGATCCATTTTCCGCCGACGATGTTGACACCGGAAGGGGGAACAACATCGTCAAAGCTGTTGTTGCAAATGAACGCCTCGTTCTCCACATCCATTGCTGCCTTCCACTCCTTCTTATAAGGCCCCGAGAGAGCTTCCTCTTTTGTGCGAGGAGTCGGAATGGTCGGGTTCTTGGTGAAGTTGAGGGAAGGGCAGTCAGTAATGTCCGGGAAGATGTGAGAGAGAAATTTGCAGACCGCGTGAAGGTCAAACAGCTCCTCATGCCTGTCCTCCAGAAGTGCACGGGGGGGAATACGGATGGAGGGGACATCACCCCCGGCAGGAGGAGGCGGGGTGACCGAACACCGGATGGAGAAGGCGGCTGGTCCCCAGGCGAGAGGCGGAGCCGGTCCCTTGGAACGAGTGCGACTAGAGACCGGAGACGAAGGCGGCTGCGGTGGGACCGGAGGGACTGGGCGCCTCCGATAGGAGACTGGTGAGCCGGGCTCGACGCGCGAGGAAGGCAGAGCAGGAGGAGGTGCCGCTGCGTAGGATACTGGGGAGGCCGGGTGAGACACGCCGGACGGAGAAGGCCCCGGAGAAGGGGCAGCGGCCGGAGGTGGGGCATCGAAGTCTGCCCAAACAAGCGTCGGGGGAGGTAGAAGAGGCTCGCCCGTGGTCGCAGAGTGGAATGGGTGTGTCTCATCGAAGACAACATCACGGCTGCGAATCAGCTGTCTAGTGATTGGGTTGAGGAATAAGTAGTTTGGGGAGTCGGAGTTGTGCCCCAGGTACATGCAGGTCTGGGTTTTGGGACCAAGCTTGCCACCTTGCTTCCTGCGCGTGTGGGGGCTTAGCAACACATACGCGGTACACCCCCAGACGCGTAGAGAGCGGGCGGAAGGCGTGACCCCAAGCCAGAGAGCGGTAGGTGTGGTGTCGGGCCAGTGGGGATGCGGATAAGGATTGTAGAGGAGTGCCGTATGGAAGAGGGCATATCCCCAGAGTGACCGTGGTGCGTTGGCATGACTGAGGAGGCAGCAAGCGATCTGAACCAATGTGTGGTTGCGGCTCTCTGCAATGCCATTCTGCTGCGGGCTTTCGGGGAGCGTGAAGGTTTGCCGAATCCCTTGGGCCGCACAGAAGTTATCGAGTTTGCCATTGCGAAATTCTCCCCCGCCATCAGAATGGAGGCACTTCAGAGGAGTGCCGAACGTGACTTGAGCCTGGCGCACCAACGCCATGATGACATCAGGTGCCTCCGCCTTGGTATGCAGGAGGTGCACAGAAACATACCGCGAGTGGTCATCGACTAGTGTAAGAAAGTACCGATAACCGCCTCGGGATGCGACTGGAGCTGGGCCCCAGACATCCATGTGCACTAGGTCCAGCGGAGCAGCTGCGACGGATGGGGAGGAAGGGTGCGGCTGCTGCCTGAGCTTGCTCTTCGTGCAGTCCAGGCAGGTGGGTGCAAGTGAGTCTGTTGGTGGAGGAAGCGCCGACGGGAGGCCAAGAAGAAGTCTCTTGAAAGCGATGTCGGCAAGTGTACGGAAGTTGGGGTGACCCAAGCGATGGTGGTAGTGTTAGAAACAGAGGTGTCACTCAAGTCTGTTCATGGCCGATCTCCTTCAAGAGCCTCCTTAGCCAGATGATTTCTTTTGCCGCATGAAACATCGCCATGTACTCAGATTCCACTGAAGATAGTGCCGTCTCAGACTGCTTCTTGGACCTCCAACTTAGAGGCCCACCTCCCACCATGCAGATGTATCCACCTACTGATGATGAATCCTCATGTTCAGAAGCCCATGTGGCATCAGCAAAACAGGAAAGGAACACCTTTCCTTCTCCGAGCTGCTCCCTCTTCTCTTTGAGGACTTCAACTCCCTTTTGCCAGAGTTGAGCAGAGGCTGAATACTGTACTCCCACCGTAGGGTATGACTTGAGGTAGCGCACCACTCTCTCTGCTGCACCATACTGCTCTTCTGTTGGATTTTGCACTACTCGAGCCAGCTGTCCCACAGCAAAGCTGATGTCAGGACGAGTATGCACAGCAGCGTAGAGTAGGCTCCCGACCATGGATTGGAATTGCCTCTGGTCTTCACACTCAACTCCTTCTCCTTCAGCTGCCTTTATGAGTTTGAACTCGGAAGGCAAAGGTGTGACCACTGTCTGTTCTTCCTGCAGAGAGTACTTCTCAGCCAAGGTGTGGATGTACTGTCCCTGATGCAGTTTGAGCCAGCCACGTTCAGTATCCCGCTCAATGTGCATTCCCAGGTAGTACCTTGCCTCTCCAAGTGACTTGCACTTGAACTGTTCTGTGAGCTTCTGCTGCACCCCATCGATCTCCTTGTCACTGCTGCTGAAGAGCAGGATGTCATCCACGTACACAAGCAGAAGCACAAGCGACTCCCCCTCGCCCATCAGGAATAGGCTCTCGTCGCATGCACTCGCACGGAATCCAATCCCTTCCAGTGCACTGGCCAGCCTGTTGTACCAGCATCTCGGGGCCTGCTTCAAGCCATAGATGGCCTTGTTAAGTTTGCAGACACGACCGGTTCCATCCTCATAGCCAGGTGGTTGAACCATGTACACCTCTTCCACAATGCCGTACAGAAAAGCGGTTACGATGTCCATCTGCTTCACCTTCCATTTGCGCACAGCAGCTACCGCCAGCAGCACACGTAGCGTTGGAGACTTAGCAGTTGGGGCAAACACTTCTTTGTAATCTTCCTTCTCTTTCTGTTGAAACCCCTTTGCCACCAGCCTGCTCTTGTAAACTGATGGCTCTCCTTTCTCATCCGTCTTGATTTTTGCCAGCCACTTGCACTGTATTGCCTTCTTCCCATTTGGCAAGTACACCAGGTCCCATGTGTGATTCTCCATCTGGCTGTTGTACTCTGCATCTCTTGAAACGAGCCACTTCCCCCGTTGAGGCCCGGCTAGCGCATGATCCATGCTCGGAGGTTGTATTGGTGCGTAAAAGCAGTATGCAGGCTCCTCGTCATCTGACTCTTGGTCATCACCCAAGAACAGCACTGCATCTTCGCCTTGAGCCTGTTCCTGCTGCTCTGTTGTGGCTCCTCCACTTGTAGAGTTCAGCAGCTTTCTTGTTGCCATTCTGGTACGTCCAGGGTAGATGGTTGGATTTACCCATTCTTTCACCTTCACCCAATCCTTTGTCCCCCCACCAATCTGTTTCCTTCGCTTTGGCAGACTTGGTGTTTTGGAAGCCTCTTGCTGCTGCTGCTCCGGATCCTTGACTTCAGCATCAGCTGCAATATCCTCATTGCTTCCTTCATCAGTACCGCTTGCCGTTGGTGCAGTGACTTCGCTGTCCTCAGGTTCGGACACATCGAAGTGCATAGTGATCTCTTCCAGCTGCTGGGTGACCCTTGCCTCTGGCTGCTTCTCCCACTTGCCATACATGATGTTCTCCACAAATGTGACATCCCGACTGTCAAACAGCACATTCGTTGAGGGCTCCCAGAGTAGCCATCCCTTGCTCTCTGCCGCAAGCCCAAGGTGCACACACCAAAGTGCAGATGCTCCAAGCTTTGTCCTGTACGGTTTAGGGACATGCGCCACTGCCATGCATCCGAACACTCTAAGCATGTCCACTGGAGGCTTCTTTCCAAGCCACCTCTCCAGCGGCACCCACATATCATCAGCCACCTTTGTGAGTACGCGGTTCCTTGCCACTGTAGCATGCCTCACCACATGAGGCCACATGGAGTTCCCCAGCCCTGATTTGATCAGCAGCGCTCGTGCAGTTTCCAGGATGGTCCTATTAGCCCTCTCAGCAACGCCATTTGACTGAGGGGTATAGGACGTCGTTAGCTGATGCTCAATGCCTTGTTTCTTGAGCCACGCAGTCAGATCTCCTCCTAGAAACTCTCCACCTCGGTCGGTTCTGATGCTCTTGCATGGGTGCCCAGATTGTCGCTCGACGAACGGCAGCCAGTCATCTCGTATTGTTGAGGCAGCATGATCCTTTTGCTTCAACGGGTATGCCCATATCAGCCGACTCAAGTCATCAACTATTGTTAGGAAGTATCTTTCCCCCTTTCTTCCTTGAACTGGAAAAGATCCTACCAGGTCCATGTGCACCAGTTCCAGTGCTGCCTTGCTTTTCCCAGCTACGCCGTGAAAGGGGAACCGTGTGAACTTGCTCAGCAGACACGTCTCGCACTTGGTATCATTTGGTTGCCCAGAAAGCTTCAGCCCCTTTACTGCTTCTTCTTTATGCAGTTGCTGCAGCAATGGTATAGCCAGATGCCCTAGACGCCTGTGTGCGGTTTCCCAATCAGTCTCCCCCGACCTTGCAGAAACCGTCACTCCTGTAGCACTAACTGTATTGCACTCCCCCTGGACTCCAGATCCCGGCTTTACTGCTCCCAACTCCTTTGTTGATTCCCATATAAGCACAGGGATGTGCCACATGGATCTGAAGACATTTCTGCTTTCGTGTAAATCCCATAACACACGATCTCCTTGCAGCCCCTTGAATGTTTTGGATCCATTGGTGATGGTGCTGACTCCGGCCTGGCCTAGCTTGCGCAGCGATATCAGATTGGCCTTCAGCCCCGGTACGAGTAACACGTCCTTCAGCACAACCAGTCCACCATCAAGTGCTCTGAATGCAGCTCGACCAACTCCAACGACCTTCACGGCATGTCCGGATGCTGAGCGCACTTCGGAGATTGGAGGCGCTCGCACAGCATCCAGCAAGTCCTTGCGTGGTGTCATTGTCCATGCAGCACCAGAGTCCATGACCCACTTGTCAAGCGGGTGCAATTCCTCTCCAGCCCTTGCAACAGCCGTGCCACTGTCATCTTTGTCACACACATGGTAGAACTGTCCAGCATTCCTCTCCTCATTTCCCATTCCTCTGTCATCCTTGGAGGTTTCTTCAGCAGGATCAGCTACCATGTTGGCACCTCCATGTGGTTGCTTTCCTCCATTCCCCTTTTGCGATTGGTTCCAAGGGGTCCACTAGTCGGGCTTGGTAGAGCAGCGAAACCATGGATGCCCTTCTTCCTTGCAATACCAGCACTCTCCCCTCAAGCGTGGTTCACTGTTGTCATTGTTGGAGTGACCACCTCTTCCAGCATGAGAGAAGTGGCAACCGATGTCGGAGCGTGCAGGTCCTTGAGCACTGCCCATGACTTGGGCCCACAATCAGTTTCCGATAGCAGATGCATGATGTGATGCATCTGATTAAACTCCAAGCTTTGTGATAGTAGATAATACCCAGCAGCTGAACGTTCATCCCAGTCCGCTTGCTCTGCCATTTCCTTTGGCCTTGGCTCCGTTCCAATCATGAGCTTCAAGAGGCCAATTTGTCGAAAGTAGAGCTGCATCTTCCATGCCCAATCATCATAGCCATCTCCAGAGAACTTCTCAATGGTGAAGTTCTTCAGCACCTCCTTAAGCAGTGACCCCTGGCTTGTACGCGCTCCCCTTTGCGCTGCAATGCCAGAATCTTGGGTAGAGCTGCCTCCTTGGACTGAAGTATCACCTCCACCAGAGTCCTCCTTATCTCCCATCGTATTTTAGGTTCCAAATGCGTAATAATGGGCTCTGATACCACTTGTTAGTGAGAGAAGGCTATAAGCAGATGATTCAATGGCTTCTTGGAAATTTCTGCAGCACTTCGTTATGACGCCCAGAAAACCCGCGACCTTCGAAAAGCTATATCCAAAACTCCAATCGGTGAAACAATCTGAAACTCGGCTATGTTATAGCTTGCAGTGTCAGCTTTCCAATGAAAGTTGAATCACTCGATTCCGTAGCTTAACGAGTGAGCTATGGTGTTTGGCGCACTAGGGGGTAATCTGCCCTAGGAGAAGTTGACAGTCCTCAGAGTCACTATAATTGAAGCTTACAAGTTCAGAGGCATGATGGAAGAGGCATTGAAGCACAGTTGGAAGGTGGGGTAGGAAGGGAAGGATGAAAGGGGAGGACCCTGGAGGCCAATGGTCAAGAACATGACAAGAGTCAAAGTCTTGACTCCCCATCCTCAGGTTCAGCCAGCCTGGCAAGACAAAATTCACATTGTACCAGGTTGGCCTCCAAACCCCAAATGCTGCAGCTGCAAGGTGGGGACAAAATTCCCACACATGCTGGTCACTCCTCGTTATAGGGCTCTCCAACTTGGTGTAGCAGCTGCCAAGGACTTCCAATGAGTAGTAACAAATCCATCAAACATTTCTTCGTAACTCCATATGTGCTCCGATTCCAACAATTCTTGGCTCGTTGGAATGTGCTCGATGTCATGCACAATCCAAGCACATCTGCACAAGCACAAGATGAACATGCAAAGACATGCAAACCCAACAAACCATACAAACAATGTAGCACACAAAACATATGCAACGAAATGATGCGAACAGACGACAGGATGACGTGCAAACGAATATGCACCAACAGGCAATGGCTCCCTTGCTATCACTGAACAGAGGTGTCGCACAAGTCTGCTCATGGCCGATCTCCTTCAAGAGCCTCCTTAGCCATATGATTTCTTTTGCCGCATGAAACATCGCCATGTACTTAGATTCCACTGAAGATAGTGCCGTCTCACTCTGCTTCTTGGACCTCCAACTTACAGGGCCACCTCCCACCATGCACATGTATCCACCAACTGATGATGAATCCTCATGCTCAGAAGCCCACGTGGCATCAGCAAAACAGGAAAGGAACACCTTTCCTTCTCCGAGCTGCTCCCCTTCTCTTTGAGGACTTCAACTCCTTTTTGCCAGAGTTGAGCAGAGGCTGAATACTGTACTCCCATTGTAGGGTATGACTTGAGGTAGCGCACCACTCTCTCCGCTGCACCACACTGCTCTTCTGTTGGATTTTGCACTACTCGAGCCAGCTGTCCCACAGCAAAGCTGATGTCAGGCCGAGTATGTAGAGCAGCGTAGAGTAGGCTCCTAACCATGGATTGGAATTGCCTGTGGTCTTCACTCTCAACTCCTTCTCCTTCAGCTGCCTTTCTGAGTTTGAACTCGGAAGGCAAAGGTGTGACCACTTTCCGTTCTTCCTGTAGAGAGTACTTCTCAGCCAAGGTGTTGATGTACTGTCCCTGATGCAGTTTGAGCCAGCCACGTTCAGTATCCCGCTCAATGTGCATTCCCAGGTAGTACCTTGCCTCTCCAAGTGACTTGCACTTGAACTGCTCTGTGAGCTTCCGCTGCACCCCATCGATCTCCTTGTCACTGCTGCTGAAGAGCACGATGTCATCCACGTACACCAGCAGAAGCACAAGCGACTCCCCCTCGCCCATCAGGAATAGGCTCTCGTCGCATGCACTCGCACGGAATCCAATCCCTTCCAGTGCACTGGCCAGCCTGTTGTACCAGCATCTCGGGGCCTGCTTCAAGCCATAGATGGCCTTGTTAAGTTTGCAGACACGACTTGTTCCATCCTCATAGCCAGGTGGTTGAACCATGTACACCTCCTCTTCCACAATGCCGTACAGAAAAGCGGTTACGATGTCCATCTGCTTCACCTTCCATTTGCGCACTGCAGCTACCGCTAGCAGCACACGTAGCGTTGGAGACTTAGCAGTTGGGGCAAACACTTCTTTGTAATATTCCTTCTCTTTCTGCTGAAACCCCTTTGCCACCAGCCTAGTCTTGTAAACTGATGGCCCTCCTTTCTCATCCGTCTTGATTTTTGCCAGCCACTTGCACTGTATTGCCTTCTTCCCATTTGGCAAGTACACCAGGTCCCACGTGTGATTCTCCATCTGGCTGTTGTACTCTGCATCTCTTGAAATGAGCCACTTCCCCCGTTGAGGCCCGGCTAGCGCATCAACCATCCTCGGAGGTTGTATTGGTGCGTAAAAGCAGTATGCAGGCTCCTCGTCATCTGACTCTTGGTCATCACCCAAGAACAGCACTGCATCTTTGTCTTGAGCCTGTTCCTGCTGCTCAGTCGTGGCTCCTCCACTTGTAGAGTTCAGCAGCTTTCTCGTTGCCATTCTGGTACGTGCAGGGTAGATGGTTGGATTTACCCATTCTTTCACCTTCACCCAATCCTTTGTCCCCCCACCAATCTGTTTCTTTCGCTTTGACAGACTTGGTGTTTTGGTAGCCTCTTGCTGCTGCTGCTCCGGATCCTTGACTTCAGCATCAACTGCAATATCCTCATTACTTCTTTTATCAGTACCGCTTGCCGTTGGCGCAGTGACTTTGCTGTCCTCAGGTTCGGACAAATCGAAGTGCATAGTGATCTCATCCAGCTGCTGAGTGACCCTTGCCTCCGGCTGCTTCTCCCACTTGCCATACATGATTTTGTCCACAAATGTGACATCCCGACTTTCAAACAGCACATTCTTCGAGGGCTCCCAGAGTAGCCACCCCTTGCTCTCTGCCGCAAGCCCAAGGTGCACACACCAAAGTGCAGATGCTCCAAGCTTTGTCCTGTACGGTTTAGGGACATGCGCCACTGCCATGCATCCGAACACTCTAAGCATGTCCACTGGAGGCTTCTTTCCAAGCCACCTCTCCAGCGGCACCCACATATCATCAGCCACCTTTGTGAGTACGCGGTTCCTTGCCACTGTAGCATGCCTCACCACATGAGGCCACATGGAGTTCCCCAGCCCTGATTTGATCAGCAGCGCTCGTGCAGTTTCCAGGATGGTCCTATTAGCCCTCTCAGCAACGCCATTTGACTGAGGGGTATAGGACGTCGTTAGCTGATGCTCAATGCCTTGTTTCTTGAGCCACGCAGTCAGATCTCCTCCTAGAAACTCTCCACCTCGGTCGATTCTGATGCTCTTGCATGGGTGCCCAGATTGTCGCCCGACGAACGGCAGCCAGTCATCTCGTATTGTTGAGGCAGCATGATCCTTCTGCTTCAACGGGTATGCCCATATCAGCCGACTCCAGTCATCAACTATTGTTAGGAAGTACCTTTCCCCCTTACTTCCTCGAACTGGAAAAGGTCCTACCAGGACCATGTGCACCAGTTCAAGTGCCGCCTTGCTTTTCCCAGCTACGCCGTGAAAGGGGAACCATATGAAGTTGCTCAGCAGATACGTCTCGCACTTGGTATCATTTGGTTGCCCAGAAAGCTTCAGCCCTTTTACTGCTTCTTCCTTATGCAGTTGCTGCAGCAATGGTATAGCCAGATGCCCTAGACGCCTGTGTGCGGTTTCCCAATCAGTCTCCCCCGACCTTGCAGAAACCGTCACTCCTGTAGCACTAACTGTATTGCACTCCCCCTGGACTCCAGATCCCGGCTTTACTGCTCCCAACTCCTTTGTTGATTCCCATATAAGCACAGGGATGTGCCACATGGATCTGAAGACATTTCTGCTTTCGTGTAAATCCCATAACACACGATCTCCTTGCAGCCCCTTGAATGTTTTGGATCCATTGGTGATGGTGCTGACTCCGGCCTGGCCTAGCTTGCGCAGCGATATCAGATTGGCCTTCAGCCCCGGTACGAGTAACACGTCCTTCAGCACAACCAGTCCACCATCAAGTGCTCTGAATGCAGCTCGACCAACTCCAACGACCTTCACGGCATGTCCGGATGCTGAGCGCACTTCGGAGATTGGAGGCGCTCGCACAGCATCCAGCAAGTCCTTGCGTGGTGTCATTGTCCATGCAGCACCAGAGTCCATGACCCACTTGTCAAGCGGGTGCAATTCCTCTCCAGCCCTTGCAACAGCCGTGCCACTGTCATCTTTGTCACACACATGGTAGAACTGTCCAGCATTCCTCTCCTCATTTCCCATTCCTCTGTCATCCTTGGAGGTTTCTTCAGCAGGATCAGCTACCATGTTGGCACCTCCATGTGGTTGCTTTCCTCCATTCCCCTTTTGCGATTGGTTCCAAGGGGTCCACTAGTCGGGCTTGGTAGAGCAGCGAAACCATGGATGCCCTTCTTCCTTGCAATACCAGCACTCTCCCCTCAAGCGTGGTTCACTGTTGTCATTGTTGGAGTGACCACCTCTTCCAGCATGAGAGAAGTGGCAACCGATGTCGGAGCGTGCAGGTCCTTGAGCACTGCCCATGCCTTGGGCCCACAATCAGTTTCCGATAGCAGATGCATGATGTGATGCATCTGATTAAACTCCAAGCTTTGTGATAGTAGATAATACCCAGCAGCTGAACGTTCATCCCAGTCCGCTTGCTCTGCCATTTCCTTTGGCCTTGGCTCCGTTCCAATCATGAGCTTCAAGAGGCCAATTTGTTGAAAGTAGAGCTGCATCTTCCATGCCCAATCATCATAGCCATCTCCAGAGAACTTCTCTATGGTGAAGTTCTTCAGCACCTCCTTAAGCAGTGACCCCTGGCTTGTACGCGCTCCCCTTTGCGCTGCAATGCCAGAATCTTGGGTTGAGCTACCTCCTTGTGTTAGAAACAGAAAGGTTCAGTTTATTGATGAAGGAAAGGCATTACATAGGAAGAGAGAGATGAGCTAGGAAGGGAAGGTTGGAAGGGAAGGGGGGGTTAGGACCAATCACAAGGGAGGGAGGCTCCTTCCAAATGTGGTTGACCACCAGTTGGAGGTGGTCCAAGTGTGGTGTACCACCAGTGGTTTAGCCAACCCACTTGTGGTGCCCCCACAATTGTGGTCCTTGTGTTTGGGGGCTCCAACCACAATTGGGTTGGATTGACACCCCAACACAGGTGTACACCCAACTAGGGATGTAAACACAATATACACAACTAACATAGCATGGTATATTCTAACACAACCCCATAGCATGCAAAGCTAGTGTATATGTAGGGTACAACCCCAGAATCAGGAAGGGGGGCGGGGCCCAAGGCCGAGAAGGCGGAGGAGGGCAGAGTGCGCGGTCTTCGGGAGGGCCTTGGTGAAGATGTCGGCCAAGTTGGCCTCTGTAGCGATCTTGCGGACCACCAAGTGACCTTGCTGGACCAACTCTCGAACGAAGAAGTAGCGGAGTTCAATGTGCTTGGAGCGGCCATGGAAGACAGGGTCCTTTGTGAGATGGATGGTGCTGGCGTTGTCGCACCAGAGGGTGGGACAGCGCTGAGGAGCACCGATCTCAGCAAGGAGGAAGGTGAGCCAGCGAGCCTCCTGAGCGGCCATGGTGCAAGCATAGAGCTCAGCCTCGCAGGATGAGAGGGCGATGGAGGAGGAGCGAGTGGAGCGCCAGCTGATGAGGCCGCTGCCAAGGGTGAAGCCGTAGCCTTGAGAGGAACGGCGATCCGGCTGGGAGTCAGCCCAGGAGGAGTCACTGAAGCCAGAGAGGAGGGGAGGAGAAGAGCCTCCGAGGGTGAGGACATAGTCCTTGGTACCACGGAGGTAGCGGAGGACCAGCTTCGCTGCAGCCCAGTGCTCATCAGTGTGGCGACCGGTACCGACGAATCGAGCAAGAACACTGATGGGGTAGGCAAGGTCGGGGCGGGTGCACATCATAGCGTACATCAGCGAGCCGACGAGCTCAGCGTAAGGATGGTCAGAGGAGGAGGGAGCAGGAGGAGGGGCAAGCTGGTGGTCGGTCTGCAGGGGAGTGGTAACCGGCTTGGCCTGCGCCATGTCGAACCGCTGCAAGACTTGGTCGATGTAGAAGGACTGAGAGAGGGTAATGGTGCGCGATGTGCGGTCCCGGGTGATGGTCATGCCCAGATAGTGCTTGAGCTCACCCAGGTCCTTGCACTTGAGGCGCGCATGCAGGGCGTCCTTCACTTGCTGCATGGCGGCAGCATCGTCAGCGAACAGGATCATGTCGTCGACATACACCAGGATGAAGAAGCGGGTGGGAGAGGAGCGAAGGAAAAGGCTGGCATCAGACTGAGAGGCATGGAACCCCAAGGACTGCAGAGTGGCGGCCAGCTTGTTGTGCCACTCGCGAGGAGCCTGCTTGAGGCCATAAACCGGGCGGCGCAGCTCCCAGACTGTGTTGGCAGGGAAGGCTGCATGAAAGCCTGGAGGCCGCCGCAAGAGGACCCGCTCATGGAGCTCGCCTTGCAGGAAGGCGTTGGAGACATCCATGGAGGCAATCTCCATGCCAATGCGAACAGCATAGTCGAGGATGGCATGGAGAGTTGGGAGCTTGGCAGTGGGAGAGAATGTCTCCCAGTAGTCGATGCCATGGGTTTGGGTGAAGCCCTTGGCACAATACCGGGCCTTGTAGACCGGCTCCTCACCCGGCAGCTGCTTCACTCGGAACACCCACAGGCCTTCAACAATGACGTCGTCAGGAGAGGGGACAATGTTAACGAATGAGGCATTGCGGATGAAGGCCTCGCATTCAGCAAAGATAGCCTGGATCCACTTGGCAGCATCGGGGCAGGTGATGGCCTCAAGGAAGTTGGACGGAGTGAATCTGGTGGGAGCGGTAGCGATGCCAAGGATGAGGAGGCCAAGGAAGCCCGGGTAGAGAGGCGTGAGGGAAGGTGTTTGTTGCTGAACGCCAATGAGCTCCTCATGGGAGTCCTCAATGAAGGGAAGGGAGGGTGGGGGTGGTGTTGGCCAACCCCATGGATGGCCTATGAGTGGGCCGTGAGAGCGAGTGTGGATGCGTGGGAGGATGAACGGAGAGGTGGTGCGGCGATGCCGATGAGGTTGCTGCAGTGGCTGCTGCTGCTGCTGCTGCTGCTGCTGCTGCTGCTGCTGCTGTGGCTGCTGCTGGTGCTGCTGCTGCACCTCCTGCTACGGCTGCTGTTGCTGCACTGCCTGCGGTTGCTGCTGCTGCTCCATCCGCTGCTGCACCTCCTGCTGCTGCTGCTGCTGCTGCTGCTGCTGCTGCTGCACCTCCTGCTGCTGTTGCTGCTGCTGCTGCTGCTGCTGCTGCTGCTGCTGCTGCTGCTGCTGCTGCTGCTGCTCCATCCGCTGCTGCTGCTGCTGCTCCTTCTGCTGCTGCTGCTGCTGCTGCTGCTGCTGCTGCTGCTGCTGCTGCTGGTGCTGGTGCGATGAGGCAGAGTGAGCAGGGGAGTCAGGGACAGCTGGGTCGTAAATGTCACCTGAGGAAGGAGGAGGGGGAGGAGCAGGATTTGGAGGAAGGAGGGGAGCCTGGGGAAGGAGTGGGGGAATGACAGCATCAGCCCAGGTGAGGGGGCGGGAGAGAGGAGGAAGGGGGTCGGAAGGCAGAACAGAATGATAGAACGGGATGCTCTCATCGAACACCACGTCACGGCTCTGTAGGAGGCGGCCTGAGGACGGGTGAAGGAAGAGGTAACCAGGGGCAGAGCGAGCGTGGCCAAGGTAGACACACTCAATGGCCTTGGAGGCGAGCTTTCCTGCCTGCCGAGAGCGGTCAGGTGGGGGGATGAGGACATATGCCTTGCAACCCCAGATACGGAGAATGGCAGCATATGGCTTGGTGCTAGCCCAGAGCTCAGTGAGAGAGCGGCGGGGATCCATGGCAGACCAGCGTGGGGGTGTGCCAGTGTTGCCGCGCTCGAACCAGGCGTCATCATACGCCTTGAAGCAGGTTGCGGGGGGATGGTTGGTTTGGGTGCAGCGCTCACCCGCCCTGGGACCAAAACGGCGAAGATAGGAACATGGGGGGAGAGTGCCAGGGCGGCCACCACGGCTACCAGATGAGCCACCACTGCCTCCACCACCACCACTGCTGCCACCCTCGACCCCGCCACCACCGCCGCCGGCTCCGCTGCCCCCACAACCGCCACCTCCACCCCCTCCCTGAGGGTTGGTGCGGCCGCCACGTGGGCGCCCGCCATGTCGCGGCTGTGTGACTGCAAGCTGGGGGTTTTGGGAGTCGGTGGAGTTCAGGCTGGAGGGGGGGGGTTGAGAGAAGGCGGGCCTCAGCGTCAATGATCCATTGGACCACAGTGTCAAGGGAGGCGCAGGGCTGAGCCTCAGTGAAGGCGATGACGCGCACTTCATATTGAGGGGAGAGGCCTTCGAGGAGACGGTAGATCTGAAGGTTGGGGGGGAGAGTAGTCTGGCGAGCCTCAAGGCGGGAGGCAAGGTCCAGGAGACGGCTGGTGTAGTCAACGGCGCCAGCACTATGTTCGATCGTGATGCTGAAGTATTCCTTGAAGAGCGGTCCGACAGCATCGAAGTCGGTGCGTTCGAACATTGCCTCAAGCTCGAGCCAGATCTGGTGGGAGCCGATGCGACGTGCCTGGAAGTTGCGCATGAGCGCAGACGGGATGGCAAGGAGAAGGGCACCAGTAGCACGGCTGTCCGCCTCGAGCCAGGCGCGACGACGCTAAGCAAATCGCGCAGAGTCAGCGGCATAAGCGGCGGCGGTAGCGGCATGCTGGGTGCGGAGGGTTGCCGACCGCTCGTGTTCCTCCAACGCGATCAGGTAATCAGTATGGAGCACGAGGAACTCACGACGCTGAGTAAGGAAGAGCTGCTCAACTTCAGCGGTGGCAGCGCGAGTGCTGGTGCCAACGGGTACCATGGGGGGCGGAGGTTCCTCGCCGGGATGGGGAATGAGAGGGGGGGGATCGCCAGGGTGAGGCGGCGGGTCCCCAAGGTCACCCTCTGGGAGACCAAGCATGATGTCCAGGAGGCGGAACGGCAGGACATAAGCACTGCCGAGGACGCGGTGGAGGCTGCCGACGAAGGAATACCAGTTGGTTGCTGAGTTGTCGGCAGCGCGCACGAGATAATCGAGGGTTGAGACATCGACGGGAGGGGGAAAGGATGCCATTGGTGACACGGAGTGGGAGGAAGGCAACGGCGGGTGGACCCGCGGTGGCCGGGAGGGAGCGGCGGCGGGTGGACCCGCGGCGGCTCAAAGAGGAGGGGAGGATGGGGATGGCTGTAGATACTGCTGCTGCTGCTGCTCCTTCTGCTGCTGCTGCTGCTGCTGTTGCTGTTGCTGCTGCTGCCGCTGCTGCTGCTGCCACTGCTGCTGCTGCCGCTGTTGCTGCTGCTGCTGCTGCTGCTCCTTCAGCTGCTGCTGCTGCTGAGTCTGCTGCCTTCTGGTGTGTGCTGCTTCTTGCTGCTGCTGCTACGGCTGCAGCAGTGGTAAGGCGGCGATGAGCAGGTGCAGGTGAGGAGGCAAAAGATGGGGAAAGATGGCAGTTAGCTGATGAAAATAGGACTTGGTAGAAATTTCAGTAGCACTTCGTGATCACATCCAGGAAAGTGTGCAAACTTCAGAAAGCGATATCTGACAATCCAAGCAATGAAACAGTCCGAAATTTTACGACGTTGTAGCTGACACCAAGAGCGTTCTTTTGCAAGTCGAATCACTCAATTCTGTTAAACTATCGAGCGAGCTATGGCGTTTGGCGCATTGGGGGTTTTTGAAAATCCACCCAACAGAAAACTAGTTGAGAGGCGGCGGCTAGGAGTCTAGCAGCGGCGAATGAGGGGACGGCAATGAGGTGCACGTCGGAAGGGGACGGGGCGGAAGCATGGGGAAGGATCGGGATTTAAAAGTTGGCGTGAGCCATTATTGCTCTATACCATGTTAGAAACAGAAAGGTTCAGTTTATTGATGAAGCAAAGGCATTACATAGGAAGAGAGAGATGAGCTAGGAAGGGAAGGTTGGAAGGGAAGGGGGGGTTAGGACCAATCACAAGGGAGGGAGGATCCTTCCAAATGTGGTTGACCACCAGTTGGAGGTGGTCCAAGTGTGGTGTACCACCAGTGGTTTAGCCAACCACTTGTGGTGCCTCCACAATTGTGGTCCTTGTGTTTGGGGGCTCCAACCACAATTGGGTTGGATTGACACCCCAACACAGGTGTACACTCAAGTAGGGATGTAAACACAATATACACAACTAGCATAGCATAGTATATTCTAACACCTTGGACTGAAGTATCACCTCCACCAGAGTCCTCCTTATCTCCCATCGTATTTTAGGTCCCAAATGCGTGATAATGAGCTCTTATACCACTTGTTGATTAGAGAAGGCTATAAGCAGATGATTCAATGGCTCCTTGGAAATTTCTGCAGCACTTCGTTATGGCGACCAGAAAACTCGCGACCTTCGAAAAGCTATATCCAAACCTCCAATCGGTGAAACAATTGAAAATCGGATATGTTGTAGCTTGCAGCGTCAGCTTTCCAATGAAAGTTGAATCACTCGATTCCGTAGCTTATCGAGTGAGCTATGGCGTTTGGCACACTGGGGGGTAATCTGCGTTAGGAGAAATTGACAGTCCGCAGAGTCACTATAATTGAAGCTTACAAGTTCAAAGGCATGATGGAAAAGGCATTGAAGCACAGTTGGAAGGTGGGGATGGAAGGGAAGGATGAAAGGGAAGGACCCTGGAGGCCCATGGTCAAGAACATGAAAGAGTCAAAGTCTTGACTCCCCATCCTCAGGTTCAACCGCCTGGCAAGACAACATTCACACTGTGCCAGGTTGGCCTCCAACCCTCAAATGCTGCAGCTGTAAGGTGAGGACAAAAGTCCCACACATGCTGGTCCCTCCTCGTTATAGGGCTCTCCAACTTTGGTGTAGCAGCTGCCAAGGACTTCCAATGAGTTGTAACAAATCCATCAAACATTTCTTCGTAACTTCTTCATATGTGCTCCGATTCAACAATTCTTGGCTCGTTGGAATGTGCTCGATGTCATGCACAATCCAAGCACATCTGCACAAGCACAAGATGACATGAAAGACATGCAAACCCAACAAACCACACAAACAACGCAGCACAAAAACGCATGCAACGAAATGATACGAACA